TCTAAATATCTTTAGCCCAAATTGAGCATTTTTCAAAACAGAGTCTGCTGTCCTTCATATATGAAGTCGACACTACTGATTTGTCGATACTAAATGTTGGGTTAAAGTTCCAGTATTTAATTTTTTATTTATTTATTTTCTTGTTGCATAAAAGATGACTGCATTCTAACTTTTGTTACCTACCAAATTTAAGAGTGTGTATGCACTGTTATTTACATTGTTCTACAAAAGAAGTTAATGTTGTAGTTACCTTGCTCACTCAAACCAGGAACATTTCCTCAAGAGAGAATCATCTGATCTTCAGTGAACAGTTATCAGCTACAGAAACTCAGCCTACATTTATAGGACTTTTCAGAGTCTTATAGTTATTTGTGTACCAAACTTGAACAAGAAAACAATATATAACGTGAATGGAATATTTTGTTGTTTAAGGCTTTCTTGGCTTGGTGGTCACGGTATCTTAATGGGCACTTAAATTAGAGCACAACAAAAACTGAATCTGGTCTTCTTTACCAATATAATCCTAGTATAAATAATAATTTGTATATTGTGTTGCAGGTGAAAGTATTCCAGAGACAGTGAAGGGTAGAAGACACAAAGGCCTGTGGTTGTCTGCCTTCTAATGTTTTTCTTAAAATAGCAATTTTTCTTATTTTCCTTTCCTGTGTTTTTCTTAACTGCCTGTGATTGGAATACCAATCACCTTTAAGTTTTCTTTTTTTTCTTTTCCTTTTACAAATCCAGAGTGCCAAATCGAACTATTTCCTAACAGCAATAGGAAAAGGCTATTTTGAGGTTTTTTTCTTCATAAATCTGTAGACATTAAACAGTTTTATGTTTTTATTTTTCTGTTACCTTGCTGCCAAATAATTTAGAAAGCAATATAATAGCAACAAAGCAAATCTTTTAAAATAGAAAAGGTTTGAAGATTTGAGTTTCTCTGTCATATAACATGTAGATCAGTCCTCTTATGACCTGCACTATTTTTTTTCCTAATGCCAGGAATCTGCTGTAGACTGTTAATTTATTCCAGCTGGAATTCATTTTCTGCTAAAATTCTAATACTCAAAGGAGCCAATTTTAACTGTTACAATAGCAGCTCCAATACAAGAAGAAGGAGATACTGGGAGATAAGAAATTTCTAATTCATTGTTTATCACATTCTTACTGTTTACAGGATAATTATAAGCCAATGGAACTACCATCTTTTATTCTTAATAATTATGAATCCCTTCAATGAAACTAAAATACTGAATTTTTATATACAGTGCACACATTTTATAGGTTTCTTATGCTCACTTTACTAAAAAGTCATAGTCTGTATATCTAGTTTCTCCAAAATGTACAGCAACTGTTTTCTGTTTGTATAACTATGCTTGAATTTTTATTATAAAAATGTTCACTGGGCCAGGGATTTAGCTCAGTGGTTCCGTCATCTGCCTCGCAAGCGCAAGGACCCAAGTTCGATCCCTGGTACCAAAAATAAATAAATAAATAAAATAAAAATGTTCACTGTAGGAAGTAGAGATGCATATCATGGCCTTTAAAATATTGTAATAAAGACAAATGGATATTTGCCCTTAGTTTACTGATTAAAAGTTTGTTTACAGAATTTTCTTTGGTGCTTTAATGATGCTACGTAAAATGTCATGAGTGGAAAGAATAATTTTGTAGTAGTAACAGAGACTTCATTTAGGGAAGATGTTTTGAGAGAACATATTAAAGTACAATTGCCCAAGGGCCAGGGATTTAGCTCAGTGGTGCTGCACCTGTCTCATAAGTGCAAGGTCCTGAGTTTGATCCCGGTACCAAAAAAATAAAAACAAATTAAAATAAATTTAAAAAAAAATACAATTGCCCATACTAGATAAGAATTTTACAATGAAGACATAATTCTCCTTGACTGTACTTATATTCTTGTTAAAAAGTTCATCTAAATATAGAAGACATATGAATTCTTATAGTATCATATGCTATTTGTAGCCATAACTTAAATCATACCTCCTTAATCACAAACCTTTAACTCCTTAGATGATACAAATGAGAATTGAGATAAACAGGAAAAAAAAATTTAAAGCTAGAGCTATGCATAGTTTAGATCATGGGTCTTTTTAAGTTCTCAAGTGTTAAAGCATCAGTTATAAAATAATGATAATATAAGGTAATGATTAAGTATATATATGATTAGGAGAACTAGGGAAATAAAAACTTTTATTAAAATTCATAAAATTTCATTTTGTTTTCACTTAGGGATTAAAATACCAATATTTAGGTAACTGCAAATCAGTACAGGACTAATTTTAGATGAATTTTTAAAACATAGGCTCATAATCTATTGGGGAGGTTTTTAGATAATAAAGTTTTCAAATGCTGAAAGATTATAAAAGTCAATTTAACATTATCATAAATAAGCCAAAATTATATTGCTATATGAATATCCATGCATGCAGAGAAGATTTTTTGATGATCAAGTTTTGAAGTTCACCTGGTGTTAGAGAACTATTTTCTATGACTTACTCTAACCAGGTTTTATTTTAAGTTGTGTTTCTTTCATAGAAGGGCCACTGCAAATAGAATAATGACATACTAGAAGAAAACAGAATAATGACCTGGTAAGAGGTATGGGATCAGTTTGGTCATTTTGGACAGAAGTTGCTAAGGTTTTCTGAATTAATTATTAGACTGTAACCATTTAGATACTATGTTAATCTCTGTGTTATATTGTTTCCTAAAAGATAATGCTTAAATTTTAAGCATCAGTCTGTTCTTCATGTTAATATGGCAGAATTTTGTAAACTAAATTAAAATTTACTAGTGTACTGAACTTTGGACAAAAGGAAAGAATGAATACTATCTTTCTAAATATATTAGAGATAAAAGTTTATTCTGAGACAGTCTTCCCATTGAAGTTATTAGCTTTCTAACTTGCAAATACTGTATGCTTTGTGCTCAAGAAGAATTGGAGGAAAATCAGATAGAATTCTAATTTAAATATATGTACAAAAGTCTTTGTTTATAGTGTAAAATTCTTTATATTTTGCAAAAAAACGAATTCTTTTGGTAAAACAAACCATTTACAGTTTGTTTTGGGACTCTTAAAGGATTTTTCTTTAAAATGCTTGTCTCAGTTTTAGTCTGATCTTTTGTACTTCTCTTCAGAAGAAATGAATTAAAGGGTACAGCTGCATAAAGTAGGTTTTTATCCTAAATGGATTGTAAGTAAATTATAAACTTAAAAAAAAATACTTGAATACATAGGTGTAAGAAAAGATTTTTCTAATCAGAATCTCAACGGCACACAAAATTAATAGCAAGAATCAACAAATGAGATTATATCACACTAAAAAGCTTCTATATAGCAAAACAATCAAGTATAATGACGAGACAATCTACAGAATGGGAAAAAAATTTGCCACCTAGTTCTCAGAGAACTAATATCTAGAATATATAAAGAACTCAAAAAAATTAGACCATGTAAAATTAAAAACTCAGTCAAGAAATGGGCTACAAGCCCAGCATGGTGGCTCATGCCTTTAATCCAAGACCTTGGGAGGCTGAGGCAGGAGGACTGCCATGAGTTCGAGGCTAGCCTGGGCTACATAGTGAGTTTGAGGCCAGCCTGAACTACATAGCAAGGCCCTGTCTCAAAACACCAAAAAAAGAAATGAGCTAGAGGAATGAACAGACACTTCACAGAGGAAGAAGTTAAAATGGCCAACAAGATATATGAAAAAATGTTCAACATCTCTGGCCATTAGAGAGATACAAATTAAAGCAATGTTAAGATTCTATTTTACTCCAGAAAGAATGGCAATCATAAAGAAATCAAAAAATAACAAATGCTGGTGTGATTATAGTGAAAAAGAAACTCTCCTGCATTGTCAACTAGTATAACCATTATGGAAATTACCATGGAGATTTCTCAAAGAACTAAAATGAGAAATTTCATCTAACTCAGCTATTCCACTTTGAGGTATCTTCCCCCAAAGAACTTAAGACATCATACTGCAGTTATGCATGCATACCAATGTTTATAGCAGCATAAATTATAATAACTAAATCCTAGAAACAGCCTGTATACCCATCAACAGATGACTGGATAAAGAAATTGTGGTATCTATATATATAATGGAATACTACTCAGCTATAAAAAATGACAAATTTGAGACTTTTGTAGAAAAATGGATACACCTAGAAAATATAATGTTGAGTGTAAAATAAATCAGACACACAAACTTAAATATCATATGATATTTCTCATCTGAGTAAGGCAAAGTACAAATTAAGAGAAAAATAAAGGGTAGATGGAGACAAGGGGATAGATTTCTTGTAGATGGGAAGGAATCCAGGGGCCATGGATGAGGGTCGGGTTGCGGGGGTGTGATAGGTAGAATGAAGATATGCCAGGTAAAAGGGCCTAATAACCTCAATGAATATAAACACTGTATGCCATAAACAAACTAAGATTAACAATATCAACAAGAATGAAAAAGGGGAAAGGAGAACTAGAGGTGGAGAGAAGGGAGGAGGGAAGGGGATTTTTAAAAAGAAACAAAAAAAGAACGTTTTGCAGACAAAGGAGAAATGTGAATGTGCATTGGGTATTAAATGACATTAAGAAATCATTGTTGGGGCCGGGGATTTAGCTCAGTGGTGCTGCGCCTGCCTCGCAAACGCAAGGTCCTAAGTTCGATCCCCAGTACCAAAAAAAGAAAAATCACTGTTAATTTTGTTAGGTGCAAGATGCTATTGTAGTTACAAAAGAATTTTTTTTAGAGATGCTATACAGATATTTAGCAGCAAAATGATATGACTGGGATTTACAGTCTATTGCAACAACAGAAAGAGAAAATGGATAGATGAAGTGAAGTATGGCAAAATGTGGGTAACTGTTACACCTGGGAGATAGATTATGTGGGTTTGTGATATTCTACTTCTGAGTATATTTGAAATTTTTCATAAAAACTTCTAAAAACAGGTAGGAGAATGAAGATAAATACCTCAGGAGGATATTTTCAGAGTTGAGAGTCACAATAGTTGCTTCTGTAGCTTGTAGTGAAATTAGTTTTGCAAGAGCCTCTGATGTTTTGCCCTACAAATTAAACATATTGACAATGCTTAGAAAGAAAATGTTCAGATCTTAGAGATACAATCTTTTACATTTACCCAAAAGTCTGCTTAAGGAATATAATTTATTTGCATAGCCACTATGAAAACCAGTGTGGAGTTTCCTCAAAAAACTGAACCTAGAGGTTCTATTTGACCCAGCCAATCCCCTTCTGGTACCTTCCCAAAAGATTTAAAATCATCACACCACAGTGATACATACCCATGTTTATAACAGCACAATTTATAATAGCTAAATCTTAGAAACAGCCCATATTCTCATCAAGAGATAAATTGATAAAGGAAATGTGGTATTTATATACAATGGAGTACTATCCTGCCACAAAGAAGGATAAACTTGAGGCGCTTTTAGGTAAATGGATGCACCTCAAGACCCTAATCTTAAGTAAAATAAATCAGACACACAAGTCTAAATATCACATTGTTTCTCTTGTATGAGAAACCTAAGGTATAAATAAGGAGAAAAATGGAAGATAGGAAGTAAGAAGAACTTGTTCAAATGGAAAGGGAACAAGAGACTGGGATGAAGGAGGGAAGGAAGGAAAAAGAAATTTAAAGAAAAAATAAAGAAGGAAAAAGTAAAAATAGAGCTTTTATAAATGAGGGGAAGAAGAGTTGGAGGGAGGGGGAGAACGAGGGGACATAAAAAAGAATTAAGATGTGTTATGTAGATGTACAAATCCTCTATGATGAATGTGATCATTATGTACTGTAAACATGTACTAATAAAAAAACTAAAGAAAAAATATACATACAATTAAAAAATATAATTTATTCAAATCAGAAAATTTTTACATCAAAAATATGAAAAACAAAATGGGTATTACATATAATTTACAAGGAAAATGTACATAAGAAAAACATCAAGAACCCAACAGATACATAGGAAAAGAACACAAATAGGCAAGTCATTTAAGAGGAAATCTAAATACCCAATATATGCAAAAATGCTTATTCATGCTATTAATGGAAGAAATGCAAACTCAAGCAATGCCTGAGTAACCATTTAATGCCTACAAAGTAAGAATTTAGATAAGCTGCAATGCTGATGATATACTAAAATTATTTCACTGACATATCCTTGCTGGCAAAAACTGTTTCAACTTATAACACAAACCACTGCACAATTTGTGGCCTTTATCCCAGTAATTATATCCTTATAATTTCTTCTAATGTACTAGTTCAAAGAAATGATTATTAGGCATGAATATGTTCAATTTGAGATTATCTAAAATAAAAAACTGAAAACAATCTAAGAACAAAACCAGAATGATTTAGTAAGTTAGAATACACTTGACTTGACAATTACTCAGAAATGTCAAATAATCATTAGACTGCAAAAAGAAGGGGAAAAACTTTATAGTATTCAGGTTACAGATTGACATATATACTATGCTTGCATCTCCATTAAATATAAAGGTATGTGGAACAGAATCAGAAAGTAATTTACATTACAGCATTGTATTTTTTCTATCACTATTTTAAACCATGTGGTCACACCAACTGATAGTGTAATATAAATAAGTACTTTTCTTTTTTTTGGATTAATTTTATTGGCACATTTTAGGTATACAATATAATGACATTCATCATTAGAAATCTGCAACTTTACATAATCTCTCTTGGTTCTTATTTTTTCCCCATTCCCCTGCCCTCCCTTCAACCCCTCCATCCCTCCCCTATTTACAAAGACTTTGTTTACATTTTTTCATTTTCTCATTAATTCCATTCCCTTTTTTCCTTTCCCCTACCCCTCCCACTTCCCCTTCCCCTTTGCCCCTTTTCTTCTTATTTAACATTATCTAAATCTTTTTTTTTGGTACTGGGGATCAAACTCAGGACCTTGCGCTTGTGAGGCAGGCAGCGGAACCACTGAGCTATATCCCCGGCCTTAGTAAGTACTTTTCAAATGTCTCTCTCTCTTAAAATAACCATGGACATATTCTACTATCTACAGTATTAATTCTATAAATTAGGTAAATTTACTAAAAGAATATTCAACTTAAAATACTTCTAAAACAAAAATATTTCTTCAGTAAACAGTTAATCACATAAATCAATGTTTATTTCCAATAATTGGTACAGAAAATATTATGGTCATTCATCTACCTATAATTTTAACAAACGTCACTGTTTCATATTTACCTTTGCTATATGTTCCAGCCATCGGCCTAGTGCAATAAACACAAATAGCATAGGAGGTGTGTCAAAGAAAGTAATAGGGTTCACTTTGGCTCTCTCATACATTGCAACTAGAAGAATAACTGAGGAGTAGGCAAATGCAATGGTGGTTGCCAGCACAATCAGTACATCCATGTTTGCCGTCTTATGCTTCAGTGCTTTGTAAGCTTGAATGTAGAAGTGCCAGCCTCCAAAAAACTGCAATATAGAAACAATACTCATTGAAATTTTTTAAATTATGAAATTCACATATATACATCAATAACTTAAGATAAAATATCAATATTTACTTTATTTGACTTTTAACTAATCCATCAATATTAAGAAAAATTTTATTTATTTTTTTTAAATTTTTTTGGTACCAGGGATCAAACTCTGGACCTTGCGCTTTCGAGGCAGGCAGCAGAACCACTGAGCTAAATCCCCAGCCTTAAGAAAAATTTTAAATTGAGACAATTTTGTATTTTAGATGTGTATGCACACCAAGGAATTCAAATTGTGGCATAAGCCCTTAATGGGTATCTTCTATGATCTAATGTATATTCCATAACATAAAGAAAGTCAGATGATTCTTGGATTTTTCTTTTTGATGCTAGCAAAAACAAAAACTAGAAAAAGAATTTTCTAGTAGAATTCTTTGTCATGGACTTTTTTTTTTTTTTTGGCAGTACTGGGTATTGAACCAAGGGCCTTGTACATGCTAGGCAAGTGCTCTACCACTGAGCTACCCAATCCTTTTCATTTTTTATTTTGAGGCAGGGTTTCACTAAGTGGCCCAGGCTGGCCTCAAGTTGGGACTCCACCTCAGTTGCCTGAATAGGTGGGATTACAGTCATGAACCACTGTGCCTGGCCTGTTTTAGTTTTTTGGGTTTTTTATGTTGTTGTTGTTGTGATGCTACAGATTGAACCCAGGACCTGGAGCATACTAGGCAAGTGCTCTACCACTGAGCTACATCCACAGCCCTAACAATGCTTTTTATAAGGATCAAATAAAGACACATATTTATTAAATGGAAGTGATCCTTTCTACAGTAAAAGTTTACCTCAAAAGAAGGGAAGAAAACACAGAAAGTAATGAACTAACATGCCAGACAAAAATAATAGTTATATCAAATAGCAGATATGAATTACCAAATTCAAAAAACTTGAACTCTTGTTCTCTGCTTTATCATTAAACAATATTCTTAGGGGTTAAACAGAATCTTTCATCTACTTCAACTACTCAGTTTAAAATTATTTTTGTAAAGTATCCAGCATAAGATGATCAGACTTCTGTCTAATATATCTTTTGCAAATGGAAATAACCTTGCCTGCCACATTTTCATTATTTTTCATTCAATACAAGTATATTTGCTAACATTTCACTTGCCTGTACAGGTACACACAATAAAAAAGAGAGCAAATTCATAATGGACAATCCTGGCAAGATCTGGCGCTCGAGAAACATAGAAGAATGAATACTGATGATGTCTTCATTACTCATATTCTGATTATGGTGAAGAGCTGCAAGGTGGTGGTCCATAACTATCATATATATCATCAGCCCCATTACAGGAATACAGAAAAACAGGCTCACAAGGAAGGATCTTCTCCATCTTATATGGAAAAAATAAGAAAAAAAATCATTTTACTAAGTTGCTAGTGGCTAGTCTATGCACTATAGAGAAATACAAGATGAAATGATTCCATCCCATATAAGGATGATATTGTAAAAACTGACAAGCTAGTAGGATGTTAAGTTAGTAATAAGGACTCAAAATCTGCTTCTTTACTGAAACTCCAAAAGCACTTACTGTCGTATTTCTCGTTTATGGTCTAGGTGACTCGCTGACCGATCCTTTTTGACCAAAGAAGCTTCAAACCCTAAGCCCTAAGAAAATTCAGAAGAAAAAATTATTTCACTCAACATATAAATATTAAAGAGAAATTCTAAGCCATGGTATTGTTATTTACAGCAGTTCAGTTCAATTACTAAGTGCAAGTCACTGTGAGGAATACAAAGATAAAGGCATGCTTCCTGTTAATTACCTTTGTTTCTAATCTTTCATTTAAAAAGTAATATTTCCTTAATTCTAGTTAATGCTTATCCAACTATACTTTTTTTTTTTTTGGTACCAGGGATCGAACTTGGGTCCTTGCGCTTGCGCAGCAGGCGACGAAACCACTGAGCTAAATCACCAACCCTATCCTACTATTTTTAAACTAACAATATAACTTAAGTTCCTTTGTCCTTAGTAATGGTTTGCATTAATAGCCAATAAAAGCTAGCACCATACTAAATTTTTGACTCTTTTTCCATCAGAAAAAGAACACAGAAAGAACTCACTTTTCCTAATAAAGTATAAAAAGGAAACTACACCTAAGTAAGACTCGTGTGAGCACTGACAGTAAGGAAACTGGTATCATCTTATATTTGTTGATAATGTAGCAAACATAGTGAAAAGGGCAACTGCGAGCTTTAGAGCAATAGTGAGTAGGCTCAAATCCCAATTATGACACTTACTAGCTATATGGCTTTTGACAAGTAACCTCTTCACCTGAGTTTCCTTGCTTCCAAAATGAAGACAACAACACTGCTGTGGGAATTGAGCTGAAGCTTTGGAATCTTGTATTACTGAGTACCTCATGTTGTTACACCTTTGTGTCTTGGGTACTCAATAATGGTAGCTTCACAAAGATGTTAAAGGTATTATTATTTATACGAATAGGATCTTATCTAAACTACTAATATACTGTAGATCGATGGTAACAGATCTATGGCATGTGTGCCACAGCAGACTGTTTGTATCATTCAAAGTTCTGTTATTGTGGTTTTCTTTTAATGTATGAGTTGTTTTTTCTAAACTAAAACTTTAATATTCAGGTTGAAGGGGCTGGGGATTTAGCTCAGTTGGTTCCAGCGCCTGCCTTGCAAGTGCAAGGTCCCAAGTTCGACCCCAGGTACCAGAAAAAAAAAAAAATTCGGGTTTAACTGCCGTGTTGGCACTTTGCATTTAATAAGTGGGTTTTGGGTTGCAATTTGGGCACTCGGTCTTTAACAGGTTCACCGTCATTGCTTTAGATCATTAGAAAACTGGGGCTGGGAATGTAGACCGAGCTTGCCTCACAAGCTCAAGGTCCTGAGTTTGATCCCCAGTACTGAAGAAAAAAAAAAAAACTAGAACACCAATTTTATAGCACATTGAAAATTTTAATGCACTCCTACATGTATTACTACTTAAGATTTACTGAAGACAAAACTAATTTGGCACAAAGGTTTTGGTTTTTTAAATATTTTACTTTAATTTAAAAGTAGGTTTTTTGCTTTGTCCTAACGAACAATAATGCATCTAACATGATGTTTCATTTTCTTAGTGATTAATAAGAATCTTAGTGATTAACTTATAACAAACTGTTCTTTATTCCCACTTTCTAGGGCTAGGGGTGTAGCTCAACGCTTGAGCACTTGCCTAGCATGCATAAGGTCCTGGGTTCAATCCCTAGCACCACACACAAAAAAGTCCTTATTTCCATTCTAAATATTTTAAGTGATACGTAGTTCTAAATCTGATGGTGATTTATAAATATATCTTTTCTTAAATTTTCCTGATGATGACCGAGGAAAAAAGGCAGCCATATTTACAATTTTTTTTTTTTTGAGACAGGGTCTTGCTATGACATCCAGGCTGGCGTTGAACTCACTATGTACCCCAGGCTGGCCTAAAACTTGCAGAAATCCTCCTGCCGCAGCTTCCCAGGTGCTGAGATTACAGGCATGTGCCACCACACCTGGCTTATTTACATTAAATTTTGCAATGAGCCAGGCATGGTGGCTCAGATCTGTATTCCCAGCATTCTGGAAGGCTGAGTCAAGAAGGTCACAAGTTCCAGCCCAGCCTGGGCAACTTAGGGACATAGCAAGATCCTGCCTCCAAATTAGAAAATAAAATACAGTCGGTTTTGTGACAGATCTTTGTTAGGGATGTTTAAAGCAATCACATTTTTTTCAATATCTTTCTGATGCAAACCAGATGTGATTCAAGGGACTGTTAACTGAACAGGTAAGAATACGGAAATGCAAAGTCTAGACACTTACCTGAATTGTGTGGATAATGTCTCTGGGACCAATAATTTCTGGATCATATTTAATATGTGCTTTGTTGGTTGCCAGAGCCACAGAACAGTAGAAGATGCCTCTGTGTTTTGTGAGAGTAGACTCTATTTTATGTACACAGGAGGCACACGTCATCCCTCTCACCTGTTAAAAAAAAAGCCTTTGTAATTGAGAAATACAGTTTTTTTAAAAGTTCTTTTATTAGAACATTTTGGGTATACAACACAATTACATTTCTCACTGGGAACTTGTACCTTTACATGATTCAGCTGCTTATTTTTTCCCCATTCCGAGCCCACCCTTCCCTATTTACAAAGACTTTATTTCCATTTTTTCCATTTCTCATCATTTCCCTTTCCCTTCTTTCCTTTCCCCAGCCCCTCCCACTACCCCTACCCCTTTGGAACTTTTCTTCCTATTTTGCATTATCGATTATTCATTCTAATCATTGGAACATTTTAGGTATACAATATAATGACATTCA